GTGGCCGATGCGATTAGCCGCAAGGCGGCGCTGATTAAGGATATGTGCATGAGGATGACTGTGGTGACTCCCCTGTTGGAGCAGATTCGGGAGGCTCAACAGGAGGCTATCAAGGAGGAACATCGGAAGAGCGAACGTGTGGTGGGTCAGGTTTCCTCCTTCGATTATGATAGTCGAGGACTATTGGCACTACACCGCAGGGTGTGGGTGCCGTATCACGGAGGCGTGCGCCAGATCTTGATGGAGGAGGCGCACAAGTCCCGATTCTCTATTCATCCCGGGGCGACGAAGATGTATAGGGATCTTCGTCTAGATTATTGGTGGCCCTACATGAAGCGGGATGTGGCATGGTACGTCGAACGGTGCTTGACCTGTAGGAAGGTCAAGGCCGAACATCAGAGACCGCATGGGAAGATGCAGCCGTTGGACATCCCGTTGTGGAGATGGGAAGACATCACGATGGATTTTATCACAAAGATTCCTAGGACTGCGCGTGGAGTAGATTCGATTTGGGTCATCGTGGATCGATTGACCAAGAGTGCCCATTTTATTCCGATCCAGGAGAGCATCTCGGCCGAGAAGTTGGCCGATATCTACATCAGGGAGATAGTAGCGCGGAACGGGGTGCCGGTGTCAGTGATATCAGACCGAGATGTGCGATTCACTTCCAAATTTTGGAAGAAGTTTCATGACGAGTTGGACACTCGTTTTCATTTTAGCACCGCCTTTCACCCACAGACGGATGGTCAGAGCAAGCGGACCATCCAGACTTTGGAGGATATGTTGCGGGCATGTGTGTTAGATTTCAGTGGTAGCTGGGATACCTATCTTCCCTTGGCTGAGTTCTCATACAACAACAGTTACCACGCGAGTATTGATCGTCCCCCATTCGAGATGTTGTACGGGTGGAGGTGCAGAACCCCGATATGTTGGGGTGAGGTTGGCCAGAGGGTCATGGGGAGCACCGAGGTGGTGCTCGAGACGACCGATAAGAACCAGCAGGTTCGGAGCAAGCTTCAGACTGCTCAGAGTCGGCAGAAAAGTTACGCCGACAAGCGCCGATCCGACTTGGAGTTCCAAGTCGGGGATATGGTTCTCCTGAAGGTGTCGCCTTGGAAAGGCGTCATTCGATTCAGGAAGCGGGGCAAATTGGGCCCGAGATTTATCGGACCGTTCAGGGTTGTAGCTCGGGTGGGCAAGGTGGTGTATAGATTGGATCTGCCGGTCGAGCTCAGTCAGATCCACAACACTTTCCATGTCTCTCAGTTGCGGAAGTGCTTAGTGGATGATTCAGCAGTAGTGCCTTTGGAGGATATTCAGGTTGATGACAGCCTGAATTACATTGAGCGCCTAGTCGCAATCCTCGACAGGAAGTCAAAGGATTTGAGGAACAAGAGGGTGGAGCTAGTGAAGGTGCAATGGCAGCACCGCAAGGGCTCGGAATGGACTTGGGAGCCGGTGGATGAGATGATGGAGCATTACCCCGAGCTATTCCAGGATTGAGCAGCAGACTTCGAGGATGAAGTCTAAAATAAGTGGGGGAGATTTGTAGCACCTAGTTCCTGGTACATAAATCTTAATTGCGTATTTTCCTTTTTTTAAGCATTGGACTCGGCGAGTCATAGGTCCGACTCGCCGAGTAGGGACGGGACCCGGGACACGTTTAAGTTGGCGACTCGGCGAGTCCATATCCTGGACTCGGCGAGTCCATATCCTGGACTCGGCGAGTCACCGCTGTTGGATGAAACCCTAAGTTTCAGGGGTTTGCACCCTATTTAAACAACACATCCGCCCCAGGCCAGCCCCCTTTCACCCCCAGAGCTCCCAACCCCCGTTTAGGCTTGTTCTTTGAAGAGTTGAAGCATTTGTTGTGTGCTCTTGAAGGTTTTGAAGAAAAACGGAAGTAGATCCAAAAGAAGGGAAGCCATCCAAGCACCATTGTGTCCTCTCAGCAGTTACATTGAGGTAAATCCCATTTTCCCCCTGTTTCTATGCTTATTGCTTCATTTAAGACATTCTTGAGCCATTCCCCAAGCTTGTATGTGCATAATATTTCGAAATAAGTTGATTGGTCTCTAGATCCAAGCATAGTTGAGCTCCAGGAGCTCAGATCCACTACCTTTATGAGCCCATATTGCATATAAACCTTGGATCTACTCTTTTGGTGCATTTTGAACCCTAAAAACCCCATAGATGGATATTTACACGTAAAGTTGGAAAATTTACGTGTTATTCATGCTCTAGGAGCCCAGATCTACGAATGACATGGATTGGATTCGAGCAAAATCGCATTTTTAGCTCTTGCATGGAGCGGACTCGGCAAGTCGCTCATCTGACTCGGCGAGTCCAGTCGCGAGTCTCCGGGTTTGTCCCCTTATTGTTATGTCGAGTCGGGTGGTGAGTCCAGGGGGACTCGGTGAGTTGGAAGCCAAAAATCACCCATAGTGGAACTCGACGAGTCAAGGCCCAGACTCAGCGAGTTCAAGGCAATCTCCTTAGATCAAGATCAGACTCGGCGAGTTGTTCATACAACTCGGCGAGTCACAGTATAACTTGTTCATCAGATGAAGATGAACTCGGCGAGTTGTTCATACAACTCGGCGAGTAGGATGAAGGACTTGAACATCAGTTTGGAAGGAGAACTCGTCGAGTTGACGCCTAACTCGACGAGTAGAATCAGAAATCAGGACAGTCGTTTGGTCAAGGACTCGGCGAGTTGGCGAGCCAACTCGGCGAGTCGGGTCAACTGGAAGTTGACTCTGACTTTGACTTAGGGCATGATCAGGGGTAAAATGGTCATTTTACCCAAAGGTCAGTTAGCAGTTTTTGACTAAGGGTTTGGTGGGAATACAGCCGAAGGATTTCCGGAACAGCAGCAACAACAGTCAGACTATTCCTACGAAGATCAGCAGCTACTCCGAGGTGAGTTACCTTCCAGTAGCGGTGAGTCTAAGGCCACAATGCCGGCCCACCAGTAGGAGATGTATAATTAGATGATTGTCTCTGTGATATTCATCTAGGGCTGCTACCACCTGTGTTATGTTTATGTGTTTGTATGATATGATGCTATGTGCTAGTGATAGCAAGGGAGATAGTCCCCAAGTTACCGGTCGATAGGGCCGAAGGGGCAGTCATGCCCAGCCATGCTAGATAGACTATGTGATATATGTGTTGTGTGGTAGTAGTAGGGGGTGAAATAGTCCCCCGGTACCCGGTCGAGAGGACCGAAGGGGGGGGCGAGCACACAGATATGCTAGGCAGTATCCGGTCGAGAGGACCGAAGGGGAGGCCAGCACCCAGATATGCTAGGCAGTACCCGGTCGAGAGGACTGAAGGGGTAGTTCGGGCACCCAGATATGCCTGACAATTTATGTATGTTATGTGATTGTATGGTTTGTGGTACAATAGAGGAACTCACTAAGCTTTGTGCTTACAGTTTACAGTTTTGGTTTCAAGTACCTCTTCATCGAAGGGGAAGGAGCTGGCTCGGTAGCGGCACATCATGCACACACATTGGTTTCCGCATTTAATAGATTTCCCTGGGATTTATACTCTGATGTTTCGATTGGTTGTATGACTTGACTTTTGAACATGGTTTATGTTGTGATGTAGTTGGTCAAACAATGTTTTTATTTATTAACATTTTCTAAAGTAATGTTTTAAAACGAAATTTTTGGTCGTGAAAAATTGGGTCGTTACATTTTGGATTGTATGTTGGGCGTTAGGTTAAGGCCCATGTAAGGGGCTTGGGCCAAATTTGGAAAATTAGGGTAAGTATGGGTCTTGAGTGACTATTTGGTTTTGGGTCTTTTAGATTTTGAGTCTGGCCTTAGTCTTGGGCCAAACTAGGCGAGGGGTAAAATGGTCTTTTTACCCCAAGAATGGACTATCAAGATAATGATTATGGATTGGGACCCAAATGTTGATCGGTTGTTGTTTTGATATTGATAGTTCGGGGATCTATCAGCCAGCAACCAGGGATTTTTGTGCGTTTCGACAATGCAAGGTGAGTTTCCTAATTATGTTTAGCGGGTCGAAGGCACCAATGTCGGCCCATGGTTCGCTATGTAGAATGCTAGATGCCTACGTGACTCTTGCATGTGTATGTGTTTTGTATGCTTACTGGGTGGGGCCCAATGGCTATTATGTATTCTAGTATCAGGTCGTGCATATATGATTTGTATGTGGGTGGGGCCCGATGATTGTACAATATGCCATTATCTTTGTGATTTTTGCACGTGTTTGAATGTTTATATGATTATATGGTCATGCGAGTGTGGGCGGGGCCCGTATCTCAGTAGACGGGGCTCGATATGCGAATGTGGGCGGGGCCCGTTATGTATTTAATTATGTATGGTATGCGGTATCTTGGGGAACTCATGGAGCTCTGTGCTTACGGTTTTCAATTTATGTTTCAGGTGCTTTGGATTTCAAATGGAAGAGTCGGGATGATTGCAGAGCACACACCACATGTTTCCGCATTCCATAGTTTACTCTGATTCGATGATGTTTTGCTAAATCTTGATTACATTGGTTTTATGAAATGATATGTATCAACGATTTATTCATCTAAAAAAATTATATCATTATTTTTGGGATGTTACAAGTTAGATTTAACAAAGAAGAGACCAACCATGAATAGTTTTAAAACCACAAGTATAGATCTTTGTACGTTGTCCTTAAGTTGTCATGTTTCAAAAACCACAAGACCAACCGCAAAGTTTTGTCTTAAACTTATTTGAATGCTTTATAACAAATTAATCATTGTAAGAATTATTATTTCAAAGTTAAAAACAACCGTATGTGTTTATTACTATTTTAATTATATTATTATATTCAATGTAACACATTCAAAAATTGCCTAGTATATTATATACAGAGTTTGGTAACATAGTGTAAATTAAATAAAGATTTTGGTGTCAAGTGTATATTAAATAAAGACTTTTGTCGCAGGTTCGTATAAAAAATACATCTTCACCTAAACCATCTAATTGTGCATAGATACATGCGTTTCTTTGTCTTGAACTCTTCCATTCCTACTTACCAAAATACATACAGATTTGTCAAGTGAAATTTGCTAGCTAGCCTTTTGATTTTAGGTAGTTTCACTGGCACCAAATACTATCCCCAGGTCTCCTTTTCTGATTTCAGCTACTATATATGCAGGTGCCCGAGATGATCCCCGCAAGCCCACCTGTAGATTCAAATGAGTCAGATGTAGGTTGATTATGAAACTTGTAGTGAAATTTACTAGTCTTTGGTTATATATGATACCCATTACTAAAAGTTTAATTGCTCAGGTGCAGGAAATGAACCCCGAAAGCACACCACCCATGGGTTCAATAGAGGATATAAATCCTATCAGGCAGCAGGAATCGGAAACAAAACCCTCGGCGAGTTCATATGTTTCTAAATTATCATTCCGTCAGAAACTCCCATGTGGAGATCTAATTGGTATGCTCTTAATTACATGATATAATAGTTTTATTATGCATGGCAGCCTATATTGCTATCTATTAGCCCTGTTTTATAGCAGTTAATTTATATATGATGCAACCTGATCCACCACAATCACAATTACTTATTCGTGAAAAAGCTTAACTTTTTTAAATAACATTGCTTTGTCGATCAATTATTTTATAGGAAATAGAGAGCAGTACATCAGAATCTGTGCTCCTCTCTATAATGCAGCAAGCATTGGTGATTGGGAAGCTGCCCAAGTCATTTTTGGGAAACATAAAGATCTAATTCTGGTCGAGTGTGCTATCACTGAAAATTACGAAACTGCACTTCACATTGCAGCGTCTGCAAAAAGCAGCAAGTCGGTGGATAAGTTTGTAAAAAATCTAGTGACTATGATGACAGAGAAACAGTTAGAACTTACGAATAAAAATGACAACACTGCACTGTGTTTAGCAGCAGCAGCTGGAAATGTCAAAATTGTTATGACTTTGTTGGAGAAGAATCCGGCCCTTGTGGATATTCCTGGTAGTAGTGGAATGATGCCACTCTACATGGCTTCTTTATTTGGACGAAGTAAGATGGTTAATTATCTGTATGATAAATCTGGGCAGATGTCAGGAAATAGATGGAAGGATCAGAATCGCAGTTGGGTTCTCCAGAAATGTGTGGAAGCTGATCACTTTGGTATGTAATTGTTACTCCTTTCTCCTTGGTACACAAACTGTCAAGGAACTGTTCTTCTAACCACCCTTTATTATATCTTTGATGGAGAAAACACAATTAATTAACAAGTCTAGATTATAATTTCAAACAATTGTATCAACTGTGTTGATGAGCATCTCAACATGCATTCCTTATAGTCAAAACAAAACATGGGGATAGCCACCCAGAGCATGTTGACTTTGACTTGGATACAATCTAAAGCTGTAGAATTTGGTTTAACTTACTAGCTTTTTCTACACTTCATAGTCAAACTGAAGGTCCTTCACATCTGCATGAGCTTGAATATCTCTTCTTTATGCGTCACGTTGATATGATCACGATTATTATCAATTGTTTGTGCATACCAATTAATTATCCGGATCTTTCACATATTATTTTAAGATGTTAGGACGCAGACCTTTCCAGTTCCCACAGCATTCTCTGATTAACTAGCTGCCTACCCTTATTTGATCTTGAGATTGTAAGAGGATTTTATTAATTGGATGAGCTACAGGTCTTATTTGCACGAGGCTTGGTTTCTAGGGCTTGAGAGTCAACTCCATCATTTTATACTACAAATTTCAGCCAAGGTTTCTTGGGAAATCTTACGTGCTTCTGTGCACAACTTTTGTATATGATTTTTGTTGCATTTGATGATTGTCAAATATTTTGTAGACGTTGCGATAAAAATAGTGACATACTGGCCACAACTTGCTACAAGTGGGATTGTACTCAGAGTTTTGGCTCGGAAGACGGATGCATTTAAAGGAACAAAACCTCACTTTATCATGAGAATCTTATATCCAAGTAAACATCTCTACTCATCGATCTTATATTTTTTTACTTAAAAGCAAAATTTTCTCCGGAGAATCTTATATGATTGGCTATGGCTTTCAGTTTTGGCACTCATTCACGTGAAGATTGGGTCTTCTGATCAAAAGCCAACTGACGCCATGAAATTACTAAGAATCATGTGGGCAGAGATTATGAAATTACCTGATCGTGAAATTAGTTCCATCATCAGAGGGCCAATTGACCCTCCATCGACTAGTGGAAAGGATAAGGAAGATGTCCAGCAGCTGATAGCGAAGCTGCCAGATAGACTTTATAAACTACTAAGAGAAGAGGAATCTTACCAAAAAGGAAAAAAACTAACAAAAGGGCTTGACAATGAAGAGCTAAAAGATCAACCGAAGAAGTTCTCTTCCCGCATACTATTTGTTGCTGCGGAGATGGGGAACACCGAATTTCTGATTGAGCTGATTCGCCAATATCCAGACTTAATATGGAAGATGAATGATAATGGCCAAACTATATTTCATGTTGCTGTAATACACCGTCATGAGGGCATCTACAATCTTTTGCATGAGATTGGGTCAATGAAGGATATGATAACACCTATGAAGGACGATGAAGGAAATACTATGTTGCATTTAGTTGGCAAGTGTCCAAAGAATAATCACAACCAAAATGACTCTGGAGTCGGTTTACAAATGCAACGTGAATTGTTATGGTTCAAGGTACGTACTTCTTCTTCAATTCTTAAATCCATAGCTGACAACAACCTTTCGTGGGTTCATATATAGGATCTTTCTTTTGATAATGACTTTTGGTGTTATATATACAAGTAGAAACTCGTTAAAACAGTAATTGTTCTTCTTGCTACCCAGTGAACACTGATTGTTATCACAAATTAAACACACATTAACATTACTTTTGCTAAATGCTGCCTTTCTATATATATAATTTTTTTTTTTTATTATAAGTGCTTGTTCGATACTAAGCTGACATGCCCAAAGCCTATGATGTCAAATCTTATGTATGACGTGGCATTTTCAACATCTTAGTATTATTATTATTATTATCATTTCAAAATCTGAAATACAAATCCGGTGAAATAATCTTACCTCTTTTTGTGTAGGAAGTAGAAGCTCTTCTCCCTCCTTCATACAGAGAAAGGAAGAACAAAAATGGTCAAACACCACATGAATTGTTCATGGAGGAGCACAAAGATCTGCTCTCTGCAAATGAAAAGTGGATGAAAGACACGGCAAACCAGTGCTTGGTGGTTGGAGCCCTCATAGCTTCCATTGCTTTTGCAGCAGCTTTTGGAGTTCCAGGTGGATACGATCAGAACACTGGTATTCCCATGTTCGTTCATAATCAATCTTTCATAGTCTTTGCCATATCAGATGCCATATCTTTGACATTCTCTTCCATTTCGATCCTCATATTCTTATCTATTTACTTATCTCGCTACGCTGAACTTGATTTTATGGAAGTATTACCCCAAAAACTCATGATAGGTCTAGTTACACTTTTTTTCTCAATTGCAGCGATGCTGGTTGGTTTTAGTGTCAGTTTCTTCGTTGTTTTTCAGGACAAGTTAATTTGGGTACCAATCATTATCGCCCTTTGGATTTCCATACCAGTCATCTTATATGTTAGGCTTCAGTATAATCTTTTATGGGATGCTTATTACTCAATATATGGTTTTAAACTTATCTTCAAGCCAAAAAACCCTAGGCTTTACTATCGAAGTCCAAGCTTCTGATCACTTGTTGTTTTGAAGGAAAATGTTTCATTTGAAGATGTGGAAGCTATAATGCTTTCTATCAATTTGGAAGAAGTTGATGTGTGGATGTTTATGTACTTTTTGAATCCAGATGTATTTTGTATGCAAGTAATTAAGCACCTAACATTACTTTTGTTGTCATGAAGTTTTGAGAGCCAAATATATTTATGCACAATTGCACATGATAGGTGATAGGTCCCAAATTAAGTGGACAATTTGCGACAGTAGATTGTCTTCACTCCAGGGAGAAGGTACCACAGGTTTGCATTAACTTCTTTGTCTTCACTAATAAAATTGGCTGCTTAAGTTGCATGACCACATACACTTCAAACCAAAATAAAAGGAAATCATGAATATATAACAACGTAAAGGAAATACACTATAACATCCAATCACCCACAAATATATGAGACCAGCTCATCACTCTCCCATGAGTTTTGGATCTAGTTTATGCCTCGTGTGTGAAAGAAATGGCTAGCTAGTGGCCAAACAGCAAACCTTGATGGTTAATTTTCAAAAAAGAAAGAATGTGGTAAGATAGATGGGTAATTTCGTCATACTTCAGCCTTTAAGGGATGCGTGCAAATAGCTACACCTATTCGCAAGGCAGTGTACCTTTTCGCAAATAGTATAGAACAAAAGTCGGATATCGATCTCAGGAAGCAAGATTATTTATTTAACCTACTTACTATTTTGCAAGTTTAGACAAACTTAAATTCTAAACAACTATTCAATCAAATATTAAAAAACACTTTTGTTAGTTCGAATCTACTTTCCCTCAATGGTTTAGCTATTAATTATGACAATTCCTGCTGGTTACCAATTTATTTATTATTAGAAATTCAAGTCCAAATTTACTAATATTTACTTATATTTAATTAATTCATGTAGAACTATGCATAATCATACATAATTTAACATACTCAATTATTAGATATGATTGGAGCTATGTAAGATTGAGTTAACAAACACAATTATGGTCATAATATGAGTTCTCCGGCACAGCCAAATTCAATACTTTAATTACTTATCTAAGATTGGTTCGATTTTAGCTATAATAATCTAATGTTCACTAAATTACTAGGTAATCAAATTCATGCATATTAATGATCACTAAACTACACAAAATATGAATTAAAGCAATCTACTATTAAATTAGGCATGCTAGGTATAAACAATCAACACAAACCATTAACCAACAAGAAAAATCTATATTAATATAACTAAACCATAGGGTTGGCAATTCTCGACACGACCCACGACGCGACACGAAATAAATGGGTTTGGGTTGAGTTTTTCAACCCGCCAACCCACCAACCTGCCAACGCGTTTATTAAATGGGTCATATATGGGTTTCTCAAAAAATAAACGGGTTGACCTGCCAACCCGTTTATATTTTTAATTAAAAATATATATATTTTTTATTTTTAAATGTATTTATGTATCAAGTATTAATATTTAATAAGTATTATCTATGTTTGTATTAATTTTTAATTTGAACATGTTTCTACGAATGTTTTTAATTTTCATTTGGATATATTAGCATCAACCATCAAGAATTTATTTATGTTTAATTGTCAATTTTATTTATGGAATCTGACCCACGAATCCAAATCTGACCCACGAACCCGCCAACCTGTGAACCCGTATAAATAAACGGGTTTGTGGGTCATATATGAGTTTATGTTCCAAACCCGCCAACCCGTGACATGTATATTTAAATGGGTCGTGTTTGGGTTGACATATTTTGACCCACCAACCCGAACACGACACGATTGTCAGGCCTACTAAACCATGAGTTCCAACTTCATTTAGCTAATAGAAGTAGCTAAATTTAGCTACTCATAACAACAAATAAACAATCAATCTTAACTAATAAAGACATAGTAAATTGTACCAAACTAAAATAAAGTTTTGATCTTCTCTTCTTCTTCCTTGGTGTTATTACCAAGTTTCTGGCTTTTATTCCTCTAAAAACGACTTCTGGACTCTTAATTTTCTCCAGCCAACCTCTCCAAATCGTGAGGATCAAGGATATATATATATATATATATATATATATATATATATATATTTCCGAATTGACTCTCCTCACGTTGTGAGCAAGGTATCTTAATTCGTGAGCTCGATAGTAATTCGTATCTATCACGGATTCTTGCTTCCGGATGTTTATCTTCTAGAATCACCTTGCTCACGTCGTGAGACACTAATCCTCACACATCGTGAGAACGTTTGTTAGCTGAAATCTTTATCTATAAAGCTTTTAACCTCCAAAGTTTCAATCCTTGTCGCTTTCAGTCCTTATTCTTCAAGATGACTTCTTTTGGTTGCAAAATGTAATTTAATCTTATAAGTACCATTTATCTATGCAAATAACCAAAATATTAAACAAAATGTATTTAAATGTTGCCTATATATATATATATATATATATATATATATATATATATATATATATATATATATATATCTCCCTTACCAATAAACAAAACCGGTTATCCACGTGTCATACACAAATCGATTTCCTCCCAATGTAAATTCCCAATTATACCCATCCTTGGTATCACGTATCACGTATCATGACAATCGGATTCAGAATCGTAATTTAAATTGGAATTTCACAATCTAAATATGGCAATTTCAATGTGCAATTCCGAATATGGATGGAAATCGAATGCACTATTCAATCAATTTTTATTATATGGCCGATTAAATGCATCTTTTTATGGTATAAAGATCAATCGTATCAATTTTCATTATTATTTCGATTTCATCTTATTATGTTCAATATATAATTGAAACATAGGAATAACAATCATTCTTTACTGCATCGTGTTCCAGGAATCAATAATCATTCTTCAATCGGCCATAACAATCATTGTGTAAGCTTCTTACTTTTATATCCAATTCTCTGTTTTTTGTTTATTCTGAAGTTGATATGCTTGAATCAATCTTCGTTATATGCTCGATTAAGGACATTAAAGACAGTAATTCTGTAAGTTTCTTATTATCAATTATGGTTCTGATTGTGTATATGTACGCCTGTGATTCTCAATTGTTGTGTTAATTGCAAAAATACGATCATAACAACTATAAAAAAAAACTTATTTTCTGTTCGTCTATCGGTCCCGTATCTCAGTATTGAATGTACGTTATCGATTGGCAAACATTTTACGCTCTGTTTTTTGTTTTTTCTGAACTTCATATGCTTGGATCAATTTTCGTTATATGCTCGGTTAAGTACATTAAACACAGTAATCTGAATATGACAGGATTCATTAAGGATAGTAATCTGAATATGGACATTCAACAGGGACTTTATGGTCGGTTTGATATGTTTGAATCACTGTTTTTTGTATGAATATGCTTGAATCTGAATATGACAGCATTTATTTATTTATTTGTATGAATATGAATGTTTGTTGTGACTGCTTACCTCCTGCAATAAGTAAGAATTTATAATTAAGTTCAATGGACAAAAATGCCCTCGCCAATTAACTTTATGTTATTAATTTATTAAGATTTATTTAGATTAAGATTTATTAAGATTAAGATAAGATTAAGATATTAACATTAAGATTAAGAATTTATGTTCCTGCTATCTAAATCAGTTTCTCAAATTTAAAGATTTGTTATGCGACTATATATTTATATCAACACTTTTATTAACAATATATATGCAATAAAATTTGAAAAAAATACATATAAAGGCATTGTAGTTTTATTTTTCATGTTATAAATAAGTCCAATGGACGAAAATGCCCTTGCCAATTATATAGGGGTATGTAGTTTGTTTTACCATGTTTCTGAAAGCAACTGGGTTTACCCCTTCTTTGTTTCAATTCTTTGTTTTACTTTTAATTACCGGTTTTACCCCTACTTTGTTTCACTTATCATTATTTTTTTAAGTATGAATGATGTATAGGGGTATATAGTTTGTGTTAGCATGTTTCATTCAGATTATGTTAGCATGTTTCTTTCAGATTTTGTTTTCTTTGTATGAATGTTTCAATATAACCATATTGTATTATTCAGTTTGTTCTTATATTATTAGTACTCCATACACATAATTGTAATTATTTTGTGTACTTTTTTGTTATAGTGACAATGGCAGAAAGAAAGATCACTTTCATTAAAGACTTGGACAATATGAAGGATGATTACACACTAAAAGTGTCTATCATCCGGCTGTGGAAATCGCTTTCAGATGGTAACCCCACTATTGTCAGATTAATTGAGATGATACTCATGGATGAAATGGTAAAATCTACTATTCTAATACCATTATTCAAAACCATTTTTTTTATTTGATCATTCCAATAATATTATTCAAACTCAATCATTGAAGATGTTATCTTCAATTGTGAACAATTTATATTTATTAAAGATGCCCTTTTTAACATTATATAATATTCTTACCCTATGTGAATAGTGTACAAAAATCCGAGCAAGTGTGTATCCAAGAGATTTTTAAAGGTTTGAGTCCAAACTGAAAGAAGATCAAGTTGTTTACATCCGGTCCCCCACTATCGCTCCTAACAAATACACTTTTAAAATAAGTGATGTAACCTCCAAGTTAAAATTGCATGGAAGAACAACTGTTAACGAGTGTCTACACTTTCAATCCAAAACAACATATGGATTTTCTTTTGTTTCTTATGAAACAATTATCTCTGCAACAGCTACCTCTAATGAATCAATTGGTAATTTCCCTCCTTATTGATTGTATATTATATTTAATTCTTTAATTTCACATCATTTTGACATTTTGTATTATCATTTTGTAGATATTATTGGTGAAGTTGTTTCATTAGGAAAGTTTGATTCCCATGATGTCAGCAAATCTCTACATAGGCTGCCTTTACAAATCAGAAACTTAGAGTAATGAAAACTTTTTTTATATTATATCTTATATCTTATATATTACATTCATTACTTTACAACTTGCATGTACAATTTTAGTATTATATATTCATTTAACCATTATTATTTTTGCAGAGGTTTGCAGGTTAACGTTACATTGTTTGGAGATATTGCATACCAGTTAATTTCTTATCTTGAAGCTCATAAACAAGTTGGTCGTGTGATTGTCCTTTTGCAATTTGCAAGAATTAATGTCTATAACGGTATATTTTTTATACAAATCAACCTTATTTTAGTCTTTTATATTACTCATTCTATTGATTATTTTATTTTGTTTCATCAGCAACACCTTCTATTAACAGTTATTATGAACAAACACGGATGTTCATAAATGCTAATCTTCCCGAAATTGTTACCTTCACAGATAGGTAACAAAACATTTTTAAAAATTCATCGTTTTTTTGTTTCTATTTAATGATTTAATAATTTTATTTTTAAACTCCTAAATTAAAAACAACTTGGTTAGATTACGAGGACTTCAAAACCCTTCTACTTCTTTGACTGTTGAAAGCTCTAAATCATATTCGGAATCTGATGACTTTTTGAATAATTACAAAGTTAAAAATGTTGTCGATTTGATAGAACCACAAGAGGTATGTGAATATTTTATCTGTATTGATGTTATATTGTTTTCTATTTAATAGATAATAAATTATAATTTTTTTTATGATCCTTTTCATTTTTTTTTTAGGTTGGCCAATATATCATTGTCGGGACCATTTATGGTATTCGCCAAGATATTGATTGGTATTATGATGCGTGTACAAACTGTGGAAAGAAAGTTGAACAGAAGATGTGTTCAGCAGTCCAGATAGTGGTGATGCAAGTGTCGTTTTAAAATGCAATGGTCATAATTGTAAAAATAAGAAGATCTCTTCCGTTCCAAGGTTTTTTTATATTTAAGAAAATATCAACTTAACAACTTAACTACATTATTAACCATTAAATATATTTAATGTTTATTTATGTGGGAATTTTTTATAGGTATAAAATACCTATTCATGTGCAAGATGATTCTGGAACAATCACTCTAACTCTCTTTGATAGAGATGCTTATAGACTTGTCAAAAAACGCGCACGTGATCTTATAGATCAAATCAAACAGGTATAACATAATTATAATTTTTGTTTTCTTAATTCATGTTATTTGTTGTATTTTCTTAATATTAATGTGCTTTTAAACATAAATATATTATATAACACATTTATTCTAGGCTGGGGATAATCCAAGATTATATCCTTATGACCTCAAATGTCTGGAGCATAAAAAGATGGCTTTTAAGATAGATGTTAATAGTTTTAACGTATCCAATAACTACAATCGGTTTGGGATACTTGGCTATACGGTTGATAGTAACGTTATCGATGTTTTGGAAAAAAAGTTAGCTGTCGAGGTATTTATATATTATTTTTATTTATTTTTTTAATATTACATTTTATGATCCATATTTTTCTTTAATGATATTCACTACTAAATTGTAAATATATATTGATTGAGAGCTATGTCCCACAAATTATATAAATATTTAAATTTCTGAATCAGACAGGTAGTCCTGCAAATGATGATGATACAGAAATCGCATCTCATGAAGTATCCCACGAAACGAAGTCATTAAAGGTTATATTATAAATTTACATTATTTAATTTTATATAATCTATTTTAAAAATTACTTTTTGTTAATATTTTATTACTAAACCTATTTACAACATCTTGTTTTAAGGATGCGATATCGCAAACAGGTGATAATTTGACCCCAACAATGCCTGACAAATTTGAAGCTACAAGTCTGTTCAAGTATAATTCCCCAACAATAGTAAAAAAACGAAATGTTGGAGATACCATTGATGTTGATGATTATGATAATGTGAATTCGTCCACCAAGGTCCCTCGATTGAATTCCAAAGTTGATGGCAACACAGGTCTATTAATACCAAAGCTTGAAAAGTAATTTCAGATTGTCCTTTTATAATCAACAATGTTCTTGAATTTGGATTTTTTTTGGATTCTCTTTCACAATATTGCTCTTTCTGGTGTCCAGTGTTCAAACGTTGATACTTCTTGCTTTATTTTCGTTGGTATTCTATATTTTAATACGATTTTGATTTTATGGTTATCACTATAATTAGACTAATCTTCTTTTAATAAATGTGTGGCATATATGTTTGTGTATTTATGTGTAAAAGAAGCAACCAACATAAATCTAAAACCTGTGTTGTTTCTATCTTCATGTATCACATTCAGCAGTATCTCATTCACTGTAAAAAAAAAAACTATTTTTTGGGTTATGGATGTAATTAGATCAATCTTCTTTTCAATTATGTGTGTTTATTGATACTTTAACTGAAGGAAACCATTATGTTTTTACAGATTTTTTTACCAATATATTTGCAATAAAATTTAAAAATATAACATTCTACTTTTCATTTTCGTGTTATAATATTCCGGTATACTTTCATTATAAAAAACTAGGTTACAACCCGTGGAAAGCACGGGTGAAAGAATTATAAATCTTTATTAAACTATTAAGATTAAGATATAAACTTTGTTTCCTTTTATATTGAAATTCAAGTTGATCAAACTCTTTTTTATCTTGAAATCAACACAAGTTACAAATATAAACGATCATATACCAAAGCATTATAAACAAATTAAAAACCTGTAATAAACAACTTTTATTTCTATCACCTAAAAAAACAAACATACAAACGGTTAAAGATAGCCCAATCAAGCCAAGTGGACCAAACACAATCTAAGGGATTATGCTACAAAGTAATCTATGTGACCACAATATCATTCGGTCAATGAATTTACACACTTAAAATTCAAGTTTTGTCCCCAAATACGCCTTTAAACATATAATTAACTTAACCTAAATAAAAAAACACTTAAATTACCATATTTAAAAATTAATATGATCAAAGGAGAGACCAAGTTGACCATTGAGTGAGAGCCAAGTATGTTTTTACCTACATTTATCAGTGAACATTTAAGGCTTGCGAAACCATTATCCCCTGGTAGCCTAGGTGTGCCAAGCACAGGGAGTAGAAACATAAGAAAACAATAACCAAACTATAAAACTACTTATCAATAAACAAACAATCAACCATTGATTACAAATCTAGATGTTTGTCTTCCCGTTTGTCATTTCTTCCTTCATAACACCAGCTAAACCTACAACAAAACATGGAAAAATAGAATTTACCAATATACCCCCAGCTAGATATAACCAACAATTCTCTGCATTTAACATTACCTTTCCTAATTATTCTAAAACTTCTGCAAACTATAGTAATTGGCTCATCAGAGGAGTATAGCCATCTCCAGGTTCTAATCTGGAAGCATAATTCACTGTAAGAATGAACATTATTGTTTGAAATTCCAAACTAATATAAACAATTAACACCAAACATATAATGCAAATCTTATTTCACAAACAAAATCCCTTTTAAAAAAGAACCTGATCGGCAACGGACATCTCTGCATTGTGAAAATGCTCTTCAACATGGACATATTGGTAATGTATTAATTTGTAATGTATTAAAAAAAATTGTAATCAAGCTGTCAAATGAGATTTCTCATAATATTGAACACGCAACAGGAAGAAACAATGCATCAGATGTCAATTTTGCCCTTTGTCAATTCTTTTGATCAGCTCTAAAATTTCAATCATTTAAATTCCATTAAAATTGTTTATTAATTGTTATAATATTGAACACGCAACAGCAAGAAACAATGCATGACATATTAATTAATCATTCTCCAGGTTCAAAGGGTAGAACGGTAATTAGAACAACCTGTTAAAAATAATGCTCACTTTTTGATACTGACATATTAGTAATTTCACAGCAATGGTATATATTTTGTGACTTTCTGTGTTCTTCTCTTACAAAGAGTATAATGGTACCAGATCATTGATACTGAACAGGATCATTCACAACTTACTCATATGTTCTTGTTTCTTAAGCACTACAAACTACAAAATAATCCACATAACAACATTTATATATGCTAAGGACGAAAATGCCCTCGCCATGGGATTCCTTGTGATGTAATAAATTAAGCCCAAAAGAACATATATCTGTCAGATCAATAAAGCACATACCACTAACATGTAATCCCATCAACGTATGCAAACTCTTGGTTTTTTTTATACAGGTATTATAATTCTAAATTACTTCAAATAAATCAGAATAATAAAAATGGTTATGTTATTACAGTTTTTTATGTTCATATACTGAAATATAGTGAAATTATAAATTTCAAAAATAAGTATTCTGCAAAAATTCACTTTCCTGCAAATGTTTGACTTCTATCCTAACAAAAATTCACGTTCCTGTCAATGTTAAATCCCATGTCCTTATGTAAGATGAAAGTACACCAACTACAGTGAGTTTTATGATAATTCTTTTAAGAGAATACTAATAAAGAATGAAATTTGAAAAGGAAGATTGAAATTTGAAAGTACACCAACCGCAAAAGTTTGACTTGTGTCCTAACAAAAATTCACGTTCTTAGCATATATAAAATCGCATTTTTACCTCTGATTGGTTTCACGTACTATTACAATCTTTGATTAATAATCGAAATATATGGCATTATTAAAATATGGCAATTTCAATGTGCAATTCCGATTATGGATGGAAATCCAATGTACTTTTGAATCAATTTTAGTTATATGCCCGATGAACTACATCTTTTTATGGTATCAATATCAATCGTATCAATTACATTTAAGTTTCATTGTTGGGTCGATTGGATTTTATTATGTTCAATATATAATTGAAACATACGAATAAGATTCATAATTTACTGCATCGTGTTCCAGCAATCAACCATCATCGACACTTCAACAATCAAGCATCATCGACACATTGTGTTCCAGAAATCAAGAATCATTCTTCAATCGGCCATAACAATCATTCTGTAAGTTTCTTATTTTTATCCGATTCCCTGTTTTTTGTTTTTCCTGAACTTGATATGCTTTAATCAATTTTCGTTATATGTTCTATTAACGACATTAACGACAGAAATTCTGTAAGTTTCTTATTATCAATTAAGGTTCTGATTGTGTATATTTATGCCTATGATTCTCGATTGTTGTGTTAATTGCAAAAATACGATCATAACAACAATAAAAAACTTATGTTCTGTTCATCTATCAGTCCTCTTTCTCAGTATTGAATGTATGTTATTGATTGGTAAAGAGTTTACGCTCTGTTTTTTGTTTTTTCTGAACTTGATATGCTTGAATCAATTTTCGTTATTTGCTCGGTTAAGGACATTAAAGACAGTAATCTGAATATGGCAGTAGGCATTAAGGACAGTAATCTGAATATGGACATTCAACAGGGACTTTATGGTCGGTTTCATATGCTTCAATCACTGTTTTTTGACAAATCCTTGTTTGAATTTGATTATTAGGTCGGTTTGATCTTATTATGTTCCTGCTATCTCACTCGGTTTATCAAACTTAAACATTTGTTATGTCACTCTATATTTATCTCAACAATTTTATTAACAATAATATATATTCAATAAAATTGGAAAAAAAATACATATAAAGGCATTACCTATTGCAGGGGTATATATTTTTTGTTAGAATATTTATTTCGGATTTTGATTTTTTTGTATGAATGTTTGTTGTGACACCTTACCTCCTGCAATAAGTAAGAATTTATAATTAAGTTCAATGGACAAAAATGCCCTCGCCATAGATTTTACAAACTTAAAGATTTGTTATTTTTATCCAATTCTCTGTTTTTTCTTATGTCACTCTATATTTATCTCAACACTTTTATTAACAATATATATGCAATAAAATTCGAAACAATCCACATAACAACATTTTTATATGCTAAGGACGAAAATGCCATCGCCATGAGATTCCTTGTGATGTAATAAATGAAGCCCAAAATAGCATAGATTTGTTTACCATTAAAGCACATACCACTAAGATGTAATCCCATGAATGTAAGTTAGCATGTTTATTTCAGATTTTCATTTCTTTGGCGAGGGATGTTTGTTGTCACTGCTTACCTGTTGCAATAAGTAAGAATTTATAATTAGGTTCAATGGACGAAAATGCCCTCTCCAATTACCGCAATCTTATTAATTTATTAAGATTAAGATTAAGAATTTATGTTCCTGCTATCTAAATCAGTTTCTCAAATTTAAAGATTTTTTATGCGACTGTATATTTATCTTAACACTTTTATTAACAATATATATGCAATAAAATTTTGAAAAAATACACATAAAGGCATTGTACTTTTATTTTTCATGTTATAAGTAAGTCCAATGTGTGTCTTAATTGCAAAACAACGATCTCTCTCTCTCTCTCTCTCTTTCTCTATCTCTCTCTCTCTCTCTGTCTCTCTCTCATCGCAATCTGCTTTACTATCAAATTCTATGTTTTTTGTATATTCTCAACCTCATATGCTTAATATATCATAATCTGTAAATTTGTAAATATGGATAATGTATTTTCATCTTTTTATTCAATTATCTGTTTTTTGTTTTTTCTGATCCTGATATGCTTGAATCACTGATGCTGTCATTGTTTGTTTTTTATCTTTTTATATGCCTACTAATGCAGGATATATTGGTAATTTTCACATCAGGGGTATATAGTTTCTTTTAATATGTTTGGACTTGATATGCTTGATATATCATAATCTGTAACTATGGAATTCGAAGTCATTCATCAAAATCATCCTCCCTAATAGTATCTTTTCCAACAATGCTTATCTTTATATAACATAATAAACATTACTTCCAATAGTTACAAAGTAAAATAACATAATGAAAGAAAAATATAATCCAACAATACAGTACAAAAAAAATTATATGTGCAACAAAATTCGAAAACATTACATATAAAGGCATTGTACTTTTGTTTTTCATGTCATACATAAGTTCAATCGACAATATTTTTTTTTTTTAATTTCA